TAGTAAAAAACAATCAAAAAATAGTAGGAGGTATGGTATTCCCAGTGAACAGGCTCCTCCCCCTCTTTCTACTAGCGACATCGCAGACGGACAAAGTTCAAACAATTAAGAAACGCAACCAATCTTGGGTCTGTAACCGTAGAGTCAATCCAAGCGAATCGGTATAATCCATGTGGAGTGAAGGGTAAACTTGGGTAATCCGTTATAACAGGAGATTCAAGCCAAACAATTTAGGATAAACTTGGGATGGTCCACATAGATATAACCAAAGTTCCATGTTGAGTTATGCTAAAACGAGAATGTGGAATAGGTTAGGTACTAGTCGTAAAACCATGAAAAACATGGGAATCATCTGAACAGCATATATATGTAAGACTATAGTATTATAGTGACAATACATTAGTAATAGGTACCACTATCTCTAAAGTACAACAAGGTATAATAATCCTGACATGTGAGATATACACCATATACGTAGGATAGTCGGAATGGTGAGGGTAGAGTAGAGACTAGTTTCCTATAGAAGGATAGAGGAATTAGAAGAAGGAACAGTATAGAGATACCAGAAGACCGAAAGGGTGGTATGGGTGGGAAAATACTCGCCTCTTGTCTTTATTAAAATTAAGATTATTAGTACACTAAAGCTAGCATAATCTTCAATTTTATTACATGACATTAGGCTTCGTATTTTGCATTTGTAATGCTGATTTAACAAAGAAAACGCTGCGCAGGAGTTTGGTCTAAAGTAGAAGGTTCAAAAAGTGGATTCACGTGACCAGTCGGCCGTGCGTAGAACATCTGATAGTGATGCTCCGGCTGCGTAGACCGAAGAAGCAGCCGCGCCTCTCACCGAATGAGCCCCGAAAGTGGCATCCACGCCCGCCAGTGACAAGATCCAGTGTACCCATCTAGCGAGAGTGGTAGAGGAAACTGGATTGTAGGGTTTGACGTAGGAACTCAGTAGTTGACCGGAGGAAGTCGGGCGAAGAGAGGCGGTAGCCGTCACATAGCTGCGTAAGGTTGCTACCACGCATAATTGGGGTTCCGCGACGAAGAAGGGGTAAAAAATGGCGGTGGAGTTCGATTTGGTCCATCGGGAGACATGGAAGGTGACCCCTTCAGGATCTATCGAAAAGGCGTTGACTTCGAAGGCCTTAACGTCGGATACTCGACGAAAGGAAACTAAGCAAAGTAACATCGTCATTTTTGCAGAAAGTTTGCGAAGCGTTGAGAGAACAGAGGTTTATGACTGGTCGGAGGTCTCCTGTTTTCTTCTTTACTAAGAAGATGTTGCTGAAGAATCCTCCTGAGTCCGGGGTGGGTTCTATCGCACCCTTGTTGCGGAGTTCCCGAAGTTAGGCTTGGATGAGTTTGGAGTCCTCTGCCGAACTGTTGAGCAGTCGTGGTGGGACCTCTTGATAAGGTGTGCTGACGAAATCTATGATGTACCCCTGTACCGTCCGGCGTATCCAAACTTCAGTCGGTTGCGGACTAACTTGTCCATAGGTTTGCGCATCCATAGGTGCATAAACTTTGCGAGGTGTTCCGGAGGCATCCAGTCTGTGGAGCGGGGGTGCCTGATGTTTCGTGGATCAAAGAGCATCTGGCTCATGGGGTCCAGAATAGCTTTGTCCTGTGGCAGGGTGGTGTCCCCTGTCCTTTGCCATTCGGCAGCGAATGAGTCTGAATCCCCTGTGTGAAAGGGTTTAGATTCTGAGCCCAAGGCGTCGTCATCGGATTGGGAGGCATTAGCCTGCCTATCATCCAATATGGCCATAGTGTAATCAATGTCTTCCTCTTCCTCTGAGGATAGCGCCTGGGTGGGAGCAGGGGTAACGGCGGTCGCCGTTTTGCTTTTATTAATGCACCTTGCTCGGTTTGGGGTCCTTCTCCCCTTTCCAATTGCGCTTACTAGCCCAGGTGTCGTCCTTAGACTGGGTTTTAGAGTCTTCAGATTCGGTGTCTGGGCGTGTGCGGTGTGGCCTGGAGCGTTCTGGTTGAATGGCCATCATATGGGATAGGGCCTTTTCCATAGAAGCGGCCACCACTGCATTTATCATGGACTGAAAGTCCACTGGAGTAGACTGTGAGTCTTCCATGATAGTAAGGGCTTGGCACTTGTAGGAGGGCCGTTGAGGCAGGGGTCAGCAGTAGGAGAGGATCCTATGGTAGTTATGGTACCAGCAGTACCGGATTTAACCCCAGCAGGGTAATGTTCCAGAATAGTACTAGTAGTACTAGGGCCCCAGTAGGGTAGGATAGCTCAGGAACAGTAAGTACCAGCAGTACTAACTATATCACTCCAGCAGGGTGTATTGGGTTTTGTGTCTGGGCAGCACCCAGTATGCAGAGATTGCAACAGCAGAGCTCTGATAGGCAGCACCTTAATGGGGCCTCACCCCAGAGTGCACAGGGTATTGAGCCCTATAGTGCACATATACCACAGGAGTAACAGAGACTTTCTGTGGGGACCCCTGCCTGGATGAGAGTAGAGTGAGTTGATAGTGGAATCTGAAACAGTAAGGGGATATGAGTGACCAATTGAGTTGTGGCACATATGGATTGAAGTAAGAATATGCAAACAAGGTGTTAGAATAAAACAATGCTTACCTTAAAAGACCAAGCAGGTGTAGCTCTCCAACAGAGTCAGACCGTGAAGTGGGTGAAGCTCCAAAAAGGATCCAAGATGGCCGCCGCCACACTGAAAGTGTGGGAAAGTAGATCCGGTGGGAGGGAAGGGGGGAAGCAGAGTGCCCAGAATACATATAGGTATATGTGAGGGGGCCTCAGGAAAAATTCCTGAGTAGAAAGTTAACCAGGCATAAAGGAATGACAGTTAAATAAAGATACACAGAGAAGGCAATAAATTACAAGCAATATAAGTATAATAAATATGTAAACATTGAATAAATATGAGGAGCTCAATGTTCTGACCTGTCTGCTGATGGAGCAGTAAAGAAAAGAGGGGGAGGAGCCTGTTCACTGGGAATACCATACCTCCTACTGTTTTTTGATTGGTTCTTACTATCCTTTTCTTTACTGCTATGGAGTTTAGTAAAGAGAGTTATGCAAAATACAAAGCCTCCTGTCATGTAATACAATTTTTCTTCACCTTCATGGTATTCTATTGCTGTAGCCAATTCAGGTTTTGATGTACTGTGCATTCAGATATGCTCTTCTTCTTAATAGCACTGTTGTAGTGTAGTGGTATTTACTATAGACTTTCCATCAGCTTGAATCATTTTCATCTGACTTCTTATTAAGAAGGTGCATTTGTCCACATTACTTCTATTCTCTGGATATTTTGTTCATCATTCTGTAAACTCTAGAGACCGTTGTGCATGAAAATCCCAAGATATCAGCGGTTTATGAAATATTCAAGCCTACATGCCCTATGTCAACAATCATTCCCCATTCTCAGTCATTTGGCTTTTGGTTTGAACTTGTTGACCATGTCCGGATGTGTTTTATGGTTGCTGTCCATGATTAGCATTATAGATATTATTATTAAAGGACCACTATAGGCACCCAGACCACTTTAGCTCAATGAAGTGGTCTGGGTGCCAGGTCCATTAGGGTTAACCCTGCCTTCTGTAAACATATCAGTTTCAGAGAAACTGCTATGTTTACATTAGGGTTAATCCAGTCTTTAGTGGCTGTGTCATTGACAGCAGCTAGAGGGGCTTCCGCGCTTCTCACTGTGATTTTCACAGTGAGAAGACACCAGCTTCCATAGGAAAGCATTGAGAATGCTTTCCTATAGACTGACTGAATGCGCGTGCGGCTCTTGCTGCGCATGCGCATTCTGCCGATGACATCGGAAGAGGGAGGAGAGTCCCCAGTGCAGAGGGAGCCCTATGCTGAAGAAAGGTGAGTGTTTAACCCCTTCCTCCCCCTTCAGCCCGGTGGGAGTGGGACCCAGAGGGCGGGGGGGACCTATTAATACTATAGTGCCAGGAAAACGAGTTTGTTTTCCTGACACTATAGTGGCCCTTTAATGAGCAGGTGTTCTGGTGTACATAAAAAGTGTCACTGAGTGTATATGTATAATAAATTGTTTTCTAAGATAATTAGGTTCTGATTGAAGGAAAAACAAACCAAAACATGATGAAGCATATTTTGAAATATTTATATTCACTTTTTATTCTTATAGTTACATTCAGATTTGAAACTTAAGTTAGGATGAAAAATCTCTATTCTTGCCTGCTCTACAAAGCACCAGCTGAGCTGTTTAGAAAAGGAAAACAATTGTATGTACAGGGTGGGCTAAAATTCAGAGTAGGGTTTGAGAAGTCAATAACTTTTTTTTTTTTATTAACAAACTAATATAAATGATATTACATATAACGAATTCTTAACATATGGATATTTTTTTGACTATGTAAAGAAGATGCAATCTTTTAAGAGGTCCATTTTTTGCTTCATAAATTTGGATGCTTCCAATTGCATTGTTCATAATATTAGTTAATGTTTGAGACTCTTGCACTCAAATGTATGCATGGGTATTCTCCTTAAACTGCTCATATGTACACATGCTACTTCAGATATGCTTACAGGAAGTAACCAGAAGCTGAAAGGTCGGGGCCAACATGGCAGTCAGTTAATCTGGGAATTTCTTGAAATGATTTGCTTGCTGAAAAGCTGTCTAAGGAGAACCATTGTGGCTCTGGCTGTATGAAGAGTATCCCCATCCTCTAGAAACCCTAAGGGGCAGCGGTTAGCTATTTGAATGAGAATAATGGACCTGCCATTTTGAAAATAAACCTACACAATTTTTTACAAATTTCGCCTGTCTGTGCTGCAGCGTAACTTCGGCCTTCCCGCTCACCGCCTCATGAGACTGTGCGAGCAGCAGCAGGTGATAGTGGAGTTTCAGCTGCAGCACGCACGGGTCAGTGGCTCTGCACCAGACTTCCCTCCAATTGATCAGAGTTAAAGGATTTCAAGTGGACTCATTACAATTACAGGGCCTCTAAAGAGTCCTGTATTGTTATTTGTCGTCACTACCTTCCCACGTCTGGAGTGGGTCATTTGCACGCCTGCTGCCTTCCTTGCATGTGGTAAACATTTCTCAGGGTCCCTGTATGGAATGGAACCCTGATTCCCCATTACCCGTTGGTCACCATGGTAGGCGCAGAAACTGGCATTGAAAGTTGATATGGATGACATCCAAATGCAAAGTCGCCATCACGGGGATGTGCCATTGGCCTGAGGTTCTCTAGAGTCAACAAAGTGCCCGCGCAACTATAATGTCAACAGCTACTCTGCGGAACAGAGTTGTCTTTTTTACATGTCCCAATATTTTGGTGACTACCCCAATTAAAATATATATATATATATATATATATATATATATATAAAAACAGTGTTGTCTACCTCATCCTCCTCCTCTACCGCCGCTTCCACCTACACCGCCACGGTCACCGCCTCCTCAACCTATGGGAATACGGCAATAGGAGACAAATTGAATAAAATTATGGGATATGGAATGTATCAAATAGAATAGGCTTTGGCAGAGATATGAAATATGGTGAAGACTCTGGGAGTTTCCTATATGCATTTTGTAGCCAGAAACAAGATTTGATTTCAATGGAAGTAATAAACAAAACATAGTGAAAAGCATTAAAAGTACACTATACTACTATTTATACATATATACGCACACATAAAAACATGTATTATTAACGCTATAGTGTCTCATGTGAGAGCCCCCCCACAACCTAAATAATTTTTTTTATAAATTAAAGGGGACGTGGCCTGACCGCAGAGCTGAATGGACATGCACTAGTTCAGATCCTTATAGCCGGACCGACAATCCACTCTAATCGGAGACCTACACCAACTATGGGGGACCCCAAAAGACAAAATAACTCTCAAGACACCTCAGGGAGAACACCACTGGCAAAACCGAGCTCTCTGACACAATACTTTAGAGAAACAACAGACCGTGAGGTGGAGGCCGCAGAAAACAAAATGGCGCTGACGGAAAATCAATCTGACTCTCTGCTGCTCAGCCCCGCACCATCTGAAGGCTCATACAAGTCCCAGGAAATACCTCAGGACCTTGATATACGGGAGCTACTCAAAAACCTACTGTCAAAAGTGGATCTGGCCAACATGCTGGGCAAGTTAGAAGCAACCTTCCAGTCGAAAATGGAGGCTCTGGGTTCTGAAATACAACAAGTAAGTCACAAAGTTACTGACTTAGAAGAAGAGAGGGATGTTCTGCAATCCCAAATCTTACACCTATCCTCGACAATAGATACTCATACACAATACATGGCGGGTATCCAACGCCAGATGGATGACCTAGATAATAGAGGTCGAAGAAATAATTTAAGATTGCGAGGCCTACCTATTTAAGCGTATACTAGGCGAGGCTCACAGAGGCTGGACAGAGCTCACAGATTGCTGAGACCAAGAGGTCTCAGCCACGGACATACCCAGAGATGTGAAATGCAGGGTGCACTACTTCTCGGTAAAAGACAGCATACTGAGAGCCTTAAGGGACACATCACCCCCCCTCTTATACCATGGACACTCAGTGCAAGTCTACCAAGACCTCTCATGGCTCACGTTACAAGCCTGGAGGGCACTAAAACCGATCCCTGAACATCTCTGCAACCGCGATATAAAGTACAGATGGGGTTTCCCTTTCGCCCTTATAGTTAATCATAAAGGAACCACCCATGCAATCTCCTCACATCTGGATCTACAACACTTCCTAAAGGCTCTTGAACTGCCGACACACAAATTCTGGACTGGTACTCTCCTCAACTATACTCAGAGTCAGCGAGCTTACAGCAACGCCACCGATGGGCCATCCCAGCCAAAAAGAGGTGAACGGACCCTCGATTCATCTCACCCCAAAGACGACAATGACATGATCAAAGAGGACTGGCCGAATAATCAGGAAACACCCACACCCTCCACAACAGTTGGACTCTCTGCTGGTCATTACGCTAATTACAACGACTAATGGACTCTTACCACATGATTACTGTCTTGGATATATCACACTAAACAAGCGACGGATTCAACCTATTGAATACATAGCTCTGAGAAACAATAACCGGGCCTATCATTTCACGAACAGGAAGAACCCTAAAGGACACTGAAAACTGTCGAAACCTAGCTCATGGGGTTAACTTTGCAGATAACGGAAGAATCCTGAAAATGCCCAAATCTAATACGAACTCTCTCAACAATCAAAGGGATCATCCCCCTTTCCACACAGGTCATATGAATCCTGATAGTCCTGCACTTATACACATGCATGTTTAATAACATAACTCCTTGAGATAACCTAATGGTGTTCAGTAATTCACTTAGAGACCTACTGACAGAGAGTCCCCCCCCCCAGTTGGCAAGACAGAAATGCCCTAACAGTCTCCTATGCATAAAAATTACATAGATTGTGGATTATGTCAAATAGAGTTAAACCCTATGCCACACACCCCAAATAAAATTATTTCTATCTCCCGCACAGAGATAGAAAAGTAGTAACCACAGAGATTACATTGTTCACCCATAGCCTGTGGGACGGTTAAACTCCTTAAGTTTACACGAACACTACAGCTCACACCTTTGATGCCCATCCCTTCCCAATTCCACAAAATGATTTGTTGTAAAAACTGTTATTATTGTCTTATCTAGCAACCAGTGTATGTTAAGCGCAAAAGGTTTATTTTATTTTGTTCTGCATTATTGTTGATACAGACTGTTCAAAGACTTCTCTAACCATCTGACATATTCACACCCCAATAGACCACAACAGCTCACACCATGACCACAATCCGCCTCATTTCAGAGAATGCCAAAGGGCTTAACACCCCAGAAAAGAGATCTCTGGCTTTGACAGATTTCCATAGACAGAAAGCGGAGATTGTCTTTATACAAGAGACACACTTCTGTAAAGATTCTGCTCCAACGCTACGAAACCGCAGATACCCGACAGGTTACTTTAGCCACTTCACAGGGGCAAAAGCCAGGGGAGTGGGGATATTAATGGGAAGCCAAGTCCCCTTCACATTTAATAAGCAGGAGACTGACAAAGCCGGTCGTTACATATTTGTCTCAGGGACCATAGGTAAGACAAAGGTTACATTCACAAACCTGTATCTCCCAAATAAGAAACAATGTCAGACCCTGAAAAGAATCTTAACAAAACTGTCTGCGTTTCAAGAGGGTATACTTATCATGGGGGTGGCGATATGAACTTTACCCTAGATGGGGACTTAGATACATAATTCTCATCCAGCAATTACCTCACCTCAACATGCGGAAAATTACACACTAAGTTACACGACGCACACCTATATGACTGCTGGAGGACCATACAGCCCACCAGCAAAGACTATTCCTTCTTCTCCCCACCCTCAGGTACATATACACGCATAGACATGTTGTTTACACTGCATAAATTTCTGCCACTCATTAAATCCTCTATATATGGAGCAATCACTTGGTCAGATCACACACCTTTACTCCTAGAGGTCGTCATCCCATCTCTCCCACATACCACCCACAATAGAAACTAAACAACCTTTTATTAAACAACACAGACATCATTGCTCAGTTGAAGGAAACTGCGCAGAGATATTTTGAAGACAACACACACACAGTGCTTTGGGAAGTGCATACATGAGTCCTTTAGAGATTAACTTATCAAAATAGCAGCGAGCCAGAAACGCAGGAGGGACTCACTCATCTCAGAGCTAACTCAAGAAATTAGATCCCTTGAGGACCAACATAATAACAATAAATCACTAGCAACTTATAAAAAACTAACGTCCAAACGATCAGAGCTAATCACATTACTTCACATACACAAAAAACTTAAAATACAACTCACAAAACACACCTACTACACACAGGGAGGGAAAGGAGGCCGCTTATTGGCTGAATCCCTAAAACAAGAAAGACAGACGACCTTCATATCGGCGATTCAGCACCCAGATGGCTCCCAGACATATCTATTGCCAGATATAACCAATGCCTTCCAAACATACTACACAAAACTATACAATTTGAGAGAAATGTCACCTTCACCGACAGATATCCAAAAAACTTTACAGACAAGAATAAAAACCACAATACCAAATAACTTAATGAATTTCTTAAATAGTGACTGGACGAATTACATCATAAAATCAGACACACACCATTAGGTAAAAGTCTGGGACCAGATGAATACACAAACAAATACTATAAAATCATGGCCCCGGTCCTAGCACAACCATTCCTCAATGCCTTCAACTCCTTAACTTCATCCCAATCACTGCCCACACAGACACTGGAAGCACCCATAGCCTTAATCCCAAAACCTGGCAAGGACCCATTGAACTGTGGCAGTTACAGGCCCATCTCTTTAATTAATGTAGACGTTAAAATATTTACGAAAATCCTGGCCACCAGACTGAAAGCTCTACTCCCTGATCTAATTCACCTAGATCAATCCGTGTTTGTCCCGGGCAGGAAAGTTAAGAATAACACCACTAAAATACTACATTGAATGCACTGGGCACAAATGAACAGGACACCAAGCACACTGCTTGCCACAGACGCAGAAAAGACGTTCGACAGGATGGACTGGTCACTAATTGCTTGACCCACTGCCCGACTCCATATAAACGGCCAATTATCCAACCCAGTATGAATAACCAATGGGACATGACAGGGATGCCCCCTTATCCCCCTCCTATTTATACTGGTCCTAGAGCCATTCCTACAGGGAATTAGAGATAACCCACTGACTTCATGTCAAGGCAGAGGAATAAAAAATTTCAGCATTCACTGATGATCTTCTTTTCACAATATCTGACCCTCTTACAGCCCTCCCACACATCCTAAACGAAATGGAAACTAATGGCAAGAAATCCAACTTCTGAGCCAACTTAACCAAATATGAGTTACTACCACTCAACACGACACCAGACATAAATACACAACTACGACAGCAATTACACTTCACATGGGCCCCCACCTCCATTAAAGGACCACTCTAGGCACCCAGACCACTTCAGCTTAATGAAGTGGTCTGGGTGCCAGGTCCTTCTAGGGTTAACCCATTTTTTCATAATTATAGCAGTTTCAGAGAAACTGCTATAATTATGAATGGGTTAAGCCTTCCCCCAAAGCCTCTAGTGGCTGTCTCATTGACAGCCACTGGAGGCGCTTGCGTGCTTCTCACTGTGAAAATCACAGTGAGAGCACGCCAGCGTCCATAGGAAAACATTGTAAATGCTTTCCTATGTGACGGGCTGAATGCGCGCGCAGCTCTTGCCGCGCGTGCGCATTCAGCCGGCGGGGCG